TTTAAAGAGATAAGCCATAGATAACCAGATTTTTTTTTTACTGTGCTTCAGCTGGACACATTAATACTGAAATGTTGCAGAAGATGATATCCTAAAAATGCATGGGGAAAAGGCAATTTGGACTTTGATTAAAAAATAAAAAACAAAAAAAGTGTTAGTGAATCAAAATCAGACACTTGTTTGTGCAAGAAAAATACAAAATGAAAACAGTCCTTCAGTTTATAATATCTTTAAAAAAAAATTTCACTGCTGTATAACTGCATAGATATATTAAATATATCATGATTTTTTGTTTTTTAGAAAAGAAGGAACTCATTTTTTTATGTTATTTTGAATGACAACCCATCCATCATTTATATAGAAATTAAGGTAAACATACGTAATCTTGCCATTAATGAAAATGTTTGAAATTAAATGTTTTATTGAATAAAGTCTTTTGTCATTCAATGCCACTACGAACCTGACTTAAAACATATTTCTTCACTAACTTTGTACTTTTATATAAATACTTCTTCCATCAGTGAGTGAAAAAAAATAAATCCTGATGCTGAAATATTCCCTTCATTTCTTACCTTTAGACACTTGTCCCTTTGGTCTCTGCATCCAGATTGATCCAGAAAAACAAAACCAAAAAAAATACATTTTTAGTAATTATGGCTTTCCATTTGGTAACATTTCCTTCTTAAATATCTAATGGAAACTTTCTATAAAACACAATTCATAATATTCTTAAAATTAGCCATACAATTGAAAAAAAGATTGCTTTTGTCAGTTCAAATCTTGTACAATTCTCTAAACACGTAATGTGAACAAGCCTACCACTGCTAGCTATACTTCAGTGACAACTTCTATATCAAAGCATCCTTTAAATAGCTTTTCACACTCTAAAGAGGTTTCAGCAACATGCTAGATGTTTTCTGCAATAAATTGTATAATATCCCACACAGAAAGGAAACATCAACACATCCCACTCAAAGTTACTGTTCAAAGAGCAAGTTACCTTGTGCTATTATGTAAATCTGTTTACGTTAACTAGCTTTAGGTTCTGACCACATAAAAATATACGATTTTTCACAGCTATTTGCTTTACAAAGCAGACAACTTCTGTTAAATTTGACAAAGTGCTTCACAGAAAATGATAGATGTCATCTCCTTTAAACGCGAATAAAAGCCTTCATCATTTTTTTACGGAATGCAGCCAACTCGCTAGCTACATGCCAACGCTAATGGCTAGCTAGCACTTCCGAGCAATAGCCGTAGCCTAATAAATCGATAACGTTAGCAGGTAGTTAGCTTTCTAGCTCTAAACTGGCGAGATAAGTCGTCCTTCATACCTGAGGGTCAATGCTTGTGGTAGACATAATTCATTAAGCAAGTCCCTGGATTTCTCACGGAGCCCGAGCCTGTGACTAAATTTCAACCCCCGTGATTTGGAAGCAAGTTCACAGCTCAGTTTGAGTTAGCTTCGGGGCTAACAGCGCCGCTTAGCTTATGGCTAGTAGTTGTAGCGCAGGCTCAGCTGAGTATTCTCCCAACTTCCACAGTTCAAGTCAGACGGATTGTGTATCCCAAAGGTTTCCGATCCGAGTTTAGTTTTTTCCGAGCTTAAGTGCGTATCACCGTGTGGCTCCCGGTGGATCTTTGTAAATGTACGTCTCCGTTCGGCTTTTACTTAGTCTCTTTTTTTTTTATTCCACAGAGAGAGTCCTCCTCGGTTACGTTAAAGCCCCGCACACTTCCCCAATGGCTGCTCCATCCGGGCTCTGAGCTACCGGTGTAGTTCATTTCCTCGCCGGTGGGTGGCAGAAGTTACAGCATCTCATGATCCAAATGATTCAGGTTCATCTTTACGGAAGAGAATTAGGGCCACAGAAAAAATAAAAATAAAAAATTGACTGAATTTTAAATATTATTTTAGTTTAATATGGGGAAAAAAGTCAAAATTCTGACTATAATCTCAGAATTCTGACTTTTTCTTCAGAATTCTGACTTTTCCCTCTCAGAATTCTTGCTTTAATCTCAGAATTGTGACTTTAATCCCAGAATTCTGACTTTTCTTTCTAGGAATTCTGACTTTAATCTCAGAATTTTGGATCTTTATGTAGATGGGCACCATAAAGGAAGAAATGTGGGAGCACTAAGCTTCATTGACAAAGATGTGAGTTGTTTGAGAGGGCCAGTGTAGGAAAATGACGGAATTAGGCAACTTTTTATGTGCCAGAGGGGTCCCAGGTTATGCTATTTCACTAATGGAAAGAGTAGAAGGTGATTAAAACAAGAAGCTAATTTAATTTTAGTCTCTAAAACAGACATGGCTTGATGCTATCATGTTTGTTAGCAGTCAGAATTCAGTCAGAATTTTGAGATTAAAATTCAGAATTCTGAGAAAAAAGTCAGAATTTTGAGAAAAATAAGTCAGAATTCTGAGATTAAGTCAGAATTCTGAGAAAAATGTCAGAATTTTTTTGATTTTTTTTTCTCTTATTTTTTCTCATATTATACTGAAATCAAATTAAAAATCAGTTCACTTTTTTAATTTTTTCAATGGCCCTAATTTTCTTCTGTACATTGCAAAAAATCAAGTTATCATCGTTATTTCTAGGCTATAACACTAAGACTGGCATATTTTGAGTATTTAACTCTGCTTATTCTTATAATTACTGATGAAAACTCAAAAACCATTTTATCATTAAATTAGAATATTATTTATATAAAACATTTTTTGTCAACACATAACACTTTAATTTGTTATGAGCGATCTACACATCTTAAGGGGAAAGTGCTGATTTGACACTTTGAAGATCACAATAATGATTTGAGCTAACAGCTTATAAAAACCTGAAAACATCATTTCATAGTCCGTACAAATATTTCAGAGATGTCTGATTTTACGCCTGTACACCAGAGAGGTATTGATATTCTCAGCAAGAAGGTTAAGGCACCAAAGATCATTGCTAAATAAGCTGGCAGAATGCTGTATCCAACCATATTAATGAGACTTTAAGGGAAAATAGAAAAATGAATTAGTAGGAAAGGTTCACATATACAGACTGTGAAGCAAAGCCCATGTAAGAGGCGGGACAGATTCACAGTGGATGAACAGCAGCCAGGGTCATGGCTTCAACAATGATGCCCACTATTGCTGGCAAAAAAATGGGCAATGTTATATTTTCATGAGAAATCAGGGTTCCAGAGTCTGAAGGAAAAGTGTAAAGACCAAATCCAATCTGCTTGAAATCCAGTGACATGTTTTCATTATCACTGATGATCTGAGAAAGGATGCAATCTTCTTCATGTTCTGGCCCAGCATCTTTTATCAAGGCTTTTACCTTATATTTTACATCACCTTATGCTTTCTGACAGGGTTTATGGAAATGCAGATTTCATTTTCCAATTGGACTTGGCACCTGTCCATGCTTCCAAAGATACAGATACCTGTCTCAGCAGCCATGGTGTCACTGCAATGGATAAAAACATCTGACACACACTACATAGAGACTCTATGGAGGTTTGTTAATATGAAGACAAGCTGAAGGTGGACGCTAAATAAACCAAGACTTTCTTAACTTTATGGCAGATTCCTTCTTGTTGTCGTGCATTCATGCAAATATAGTTCTGATTGAATTACATCTACCGTAGAATACAAGGACAACATTTTCTGTTATATATCTGTTTTAAAAATGCTTTTTATAATAATAATAACAATAGAATTTTATCGATTTCACACTGGAGCAATTCACCCCTGCATTTAACCCATCCCCTTGGGGAGCAGTGGGTTGCCTGTGTTACAAAGTGTGTTTTTTAAATAGCTTTCCCTGCAGTATCCTTGGGTGTAAACAAGGACAGGAGATGTCAGCAGACTGTCTGTGGCTTTCTTCAGTGCCTTTTGCATCAGAAACCTCAGCTCAGCCTTAAGCTCATGTGAGAATTGGGTAGTTGGGTACAATAAGGCCACAGTGATCATCAGCCAAACCACACGGGCTTACAATCCAGCCTGCATGCAACTTTTGAGAAGCTAGATTTTAAAAAAAGAATACAAATCAGTGAAATGGATAACTGCAAATCTGAAAATCATTTGAAGCGCTGGTTGTAAGGGTAGTCAGTTGAAAGGTTGAATGATCCTCAAGTCATGTTAAACGTCAAATTATAACAGTCAGGTGGTGAAAAGTTATCTAAATCTAAAACTATGTTGTTTAAATTCATGAGATCCTTGTTTGAGTTTTACTTATTTAATGCACATTTTAGCCGCTGTAGGTGAACAATATTTTACTTTTTCTCATTTTTAAATAGGTCAACATTATTTTCCCATCTTTCACTAACTGTATTCTGTCTATACTTGTCAGTGTTCCCTGTTAGGACAGAGGATTTGCAGTTCTAATGTTTTAAACGTGATCAGTGTGAAGGTTTAATGTTTTTCTCCCACCCCAGTCCTGGAGTGCTAATGCCCTTCAACTGTTAGGTACTACGCTGCTCCAACACTGCTTAATCAAATAATTAATTATGTTCCAGAGTGAAATCAGTCTGTCATGTCTAATTACAACAGCCAACGTCTATTTATTTTTTCCTCTGATACGTTTAAATAAAATGCATTGCAACCAGCTGCCTTCAGAATGTACCAAGTTTGGTCCACCTTTGTAAAATCTATTCTAAGCCTTTCTGTGAAGGTCTTAGAAGGAATGTTAGAAAACATAAGTGAACAAACAGCATCATGGTAATATGAAGTATCTGCTGAACAATATCTAGAAACTTAGGATTTTACAGAACTTGGTTTTATCCATAATCTAAAAAAAAATGCTATGATTCAGGTTTTCTTCCCCATGATGTGAAGAGGCAGGACATGTACATTCAATCAAGGATCAATGGGCATACATCCTGGCAGTTGGAGGATTTTCTGGAAATGAATCTCCTGTAGGCCACAGCGCAGCACCCTGTCGCTGCCGCATTATTTCAGCTGTTGTTCTGTTCTTACCTGCAGTGTTTGTCCCACTATGGACCACGAAAGGGCTGATTGGCACAGGAAAAAAACAGACAGGAAAGCCCATATTCTGCAGAATGACGGATGACAGAAGTACTATGCTGCGCATCCTTGAGGAGCCTCGGATGCGGGGGGAAGTGGAGAGACTTTGTACCTTCCAGAACTGGCCTTCGGATGCGCCTGTTGCTTCTGGAGAACTGGCAAAGGCAGGATTCTTCTTTCTGGGTTCTGGCGACAAAGTCCAGTGTTTCTGCTGTGGAGGCATTTTAAGATACTGGGAACAGGGGGACAATCCAGTGGTTGAGCATAAGCGTCATTTCCCTACATGCAGCTTCATACTGGGTCAAGCTGTGGGTAATATTCCACTGGAAACAGGCTCATCAGACTCTGTGGATGGACAGCTGTTGAGTCAGCTCCAGAGGCTGACTATGGATGATCAGGGAACAACTGGACAAGCAGTATATCCAGAGCTGGAAGCAGAGGACTCTCGACTCACCACTTTCCACAACTGGCCCTCTGAAGCCTTGGTGCAGCCAGATGTTTTGGCTCATGCAGGGTTTTTCTACACAGGTACTTGCTGTTAATGCGCTACCAGAGGAACTAAAATATTTAATTACTAAAAAGATACTCCCTTTAGCAGTTTCTAGATCAAACCTGAGCATCCAACTAGAATGTTTCACTAGATGTCCGCTGCTGCAGTGACCTCTTCTATGTGCGAGTTCATCCTATAATTGTTGCTGCTGAGTCAGGATGTTGTGGACAAAACACTCTGGACAAAGCAGCAGCTGCCAGTCAATCTGCAGTGTGGCTTAAAATTTATAAGAGTCTTAAAAAACATTTCCACCATCCCCACCAAACAGTTTTTTACTTCTGTCTTAGAAAAGCAGGGCGTAAAGATTAATGCTTCTTTTTTTAATCTTGATATTAAATACAGCAGCTTGTCTTTGAGATTTATTTTTAAACCTTCTGAAACAAGCTGCCTTTTTTATTATTGTTTTGACACACCAGACACTGTTAGAGGTTTGTGTATCAAGCTTGAAAGTTCAGTCTGTGTTTGCCATCAAACTATTTCTAAAGATTTTTATTTTTGAATGTCAGGTCATGGTGACAATGTGAAATGCTTCTTCTGTGATGGGGGGCTGAGGAATTGGGAACCAGGAGACGACCCCTGGCAGGAACATGCCAAATGGTTCCCAAGGTAACAACAGGGCTGTCACAAGGACATGAGAAATGATCAGCTAAACAAAAAATGGCTTTTTATAATAAACTTGAAAGACCAAAAAGTTTAAGTGCTACTGATAAATCCGAAGCCGCTAGACTCATAAGAATTTGAGGAAATGAGTCCAGACATGGATATTAAATCAACATTTAGTTCATGGAGCTGGTTTGCATAATGCTTTAATCTAAATAATTGTTTGACCTGAGTGTATGTTTAGGGTCACTTTCTTGCTTGGAGGTGAACCTCTATCCACATATCTCAAGTCTGGATCTGTAGAGTGAGCAACCAAAACGTTTCACATACGGTAATTAGAATCTTCTCTCTGAAGCTTCTCTATAGTTAATATGTAGCTTTTGGTTTCATTTGTGATTAATCAGTTTCCTGCTCAGCCTTACATGAAGGTGGATTGCTATATTTTGATACATTTACCATTATTTAGGAGTATCCCAAATAAGGGAATAAATCCAAATGAATGCCACTCTTCAAGGTTTTTAGTCTGTTAGGAATATAAAATTCTAATAATTTGTTCTTCTGCTTGAAAATTCCGCATCGCTTGGGGGTTTTGCAAACTACCATCCACTGTCTTTGTGTTGTCCTTCTTAAAAGTGGTCTGTTCCATGTTCCTCAGATGTGAGTTTTTGATCCAGTCACGAGGACAGGAGTACATTAACAACATCCAGGATGCTCATTTCCATATGGGAGACACTGTGGTAAGAGTCCTGTTATTTTTATGATTAAGTAGTAAAACTAGGGATTACTTGAAGCATTATAGTAGTAGCCATTCAAAAATTCCCCACTGTCCTTGATAGGTCCTCGGCTGGTCCCCTACAATTATAAATATCTGACATAAAAAAAAAAAACCATCTAAAATATTCTTTCCGTCAAGATTTGTTGACATTAACATCTAAAGAGAAGCATAATCTCTTGGTCAGACCCTGTAATTTAGTCAAACGATGGAGTCAGAGTAAAAATCATGCAGGCCCATCAATCCAGTGGCTGGAAGTTGGAGGGGAATTTGCTGGGAGATGCAGGGAAGTGGGCTGCCATTCGGCTGGCGTTTGACTGGGAAGGGCCGTTTTGAATGGCTGCTATTGTAGATCCATGTACTGCATACATTACTGCCAGTTTATTTATGGATTTAAATATTTTTTTAATATTGAAAATTAAAAATGAAAACCTTATTTTAAGGGCGGCTCTCAGACGACCACACGCAGAGACATTGGTGCCAGAAATGGTAAGACATAAAAGTTTGAAAATTGTACAAAAACAGATCAACAGTTAGACAAGTAACAGAATAATCACCCTGCTCTCCATTTCCACATATAAAGTACTAACATCTCTTTCACAAAAGCTTTAAAGTTCTTGGTTATATAAAGGGGTTAACATTTCAAATTTGATGTCTGACAGCATTTATTACATGATCGCTCCTGTAAACCCCAAATTTGCCTGTTAGCAATTTTTTTGGAATAAAATTGATTGCTCTACATGGAGTTAAATCTTTACCCTATCAGAGACTAAAACCTTTACATTTATAATGCAATCAAACCCACTAAGAAATGCAGCAGCTCACATCTGATATCTGATTGTCTGAGCTAATTTCTTTTTCAGGAATGCTGCTGCTTCTTGATGCCTTAGAGGGTGTTTAGCCGTTTGTAGTTACACAGCTATTATAACAGGGTTGTTATTACATAAAATGCAGGAAGATCGATTGCAATCAAATTTTCTGTAGGCAAACAGAAGAGGTCTGCAGATGAAAATGTTTGATATATTGCCATACAAGCTGCATGGCAATATATCAAGCTGCATGTTTTCTGTTTTTCTCTCTGGCTTTTATTTGAGATGGTACTGTGTGTGGTCTCAGGACACATGTAAAACCAGCATGATATTCAGCTGCTGGTTTTTTAGTAATCTTCCTCTCTTCTCCTTCTGCCTTATCCTTCAGATCTGGTCGGAGGTCTGGGAGCTTCATCAGCCATGCTCTCTCCCGTTGTGCAAACTGTGTTGCAGATGGGGTTTGAAGCCAGCGTGGTGGAGAGTCTGGTGCAGACTAAGTACCTGCTGACAGGCCAGCATTACATCTCAGTGTCAGAGCTGGTTAGTGATGTTCTGCAAGCAGAAGAGGAGGAGAGGCAGACAGGGCAAAACAATCAAGGTACCGTAACAGAAATAAAAAAAAAAAAAAACAGTTAAAATTTACAGCACCTTGCCCTTATAATGATTTCTCCATATTGATACGAGTGATTTATTTCTGCTTATTTCTACGCTACTTTTTCTCTGTATTTACTAAATATTATTTTAACTAAGGGAGTCATATTATGTTTTCTTCCTCCATAAGGTTTTACAAAAAGCTCTGATCTCCTTGCAAAAATTAAAATAAGATGTCAACAGTTTCGCTGATTGTTTAATAGAAATTTGGACTGTTACCCATGACATCAGGTCTAATACTTGTGAAAATGTTGTAAATATTTAGCCAGATGAAAATTAGATAAAGCTACATAAAATGTCACTTCTGCGAATAGTCTGGAAAGTTGATTTAAACTCCAATCCAGTTACAGTAAAGATGCCACTTTTATCAATGGAAAACTGGAATGTTCTATTGTGTTGTGTTATAGGTGTTTATAGCAGGGATGCATTTTACGAAGAGTAAAAAGAGATAAGGTAGATTTCTAGCAGTTTCTCTGAGATGTTTGAAAGCTGCAAATATAAACTACATGGTTAACTAATATGTAAAAAAAATGCACAAAAAGCTTTCTGTCTAAAATGCTTACAAATATTTTATAAGCAATATTAATTGTGAGGGCATAATGGAAAGATATATTTTGATTCATATAAAAAACAACCTTAACTTCCACCAAGTGGAAGGGAACTAAAGCAGACAGTATCAGACATCTTCAAACTTTTCCTTATAATTAGTTATTCATCATATTCCTCTTAGAAGCACAAATCAAATACAAAATACATCTTAAAATTCCCACTGCACTTCCACTCAGACGTACAAACCAAAGTTTCTGAAGAAATCTGATCTAAGCATTATCCTACATGTTCAAATAAACCATCAACAAGCAGTGCAGGCAAGGCGGACAATGACTCACTAGACAATGAATGAATGACCTCACAGGGAAAGGAAAGCAGAGATCAGATTTTACACCAAGCTGTGGCAGTAGGAATAAAATCTATCACATTTGATTTGGCATCTTTCAGCTATTTTTCTTGATAATAAGAGGACATTTGAGGACTTTGATCAAATTTTATGTCTATATGTCCTATTATCAAATCAATAGACTTATTTTACTTTTTCCTAAATTTGATGGCTAAAAATAAGTACAGCCTCCTCCCTTTGAGCTAAAAACAAACTGTGTTTCATTTCATTTTTACACATCTAAACTTTACCTTCTGTCTAACATTATCTGGGTAACAGAGCCAAACACGAGTCATGGATCAAGCGCAGAAACTGTGAGGACTGAGACTCCCATTCCAAAGAGAGGTCAGCGTGCTTGTAAAATCTTTTTATCTAGAAATTATTACATAATTTGTGGGGGAAAAAAATCATTCCTGTGTTGCAGCGACTAGCTTTTACTTGCAGATTTTACCTTGAAAATTTTTGCTTTATTTATTTGTATTTTTCAGCAATAAAGGATCAAAATCCTGAGGAGCTACTTAGGCAGCTGCAGGAAGAGAGGACCTGCAAAGTCTGCATGGACAAACTTGTATCCATCGTCTTCATCCCCTGCGGTCACCTGGTGGTGTGTGGTGACTGTGCTGCCAGCCTGCGGCACTGCCCCATCTGCAGGGCTGTCATCAGAGGCAGCGTTCGTGCTTTTATGTCTTGAGGCTGTAGTTAAAGCATTGACTCTACATGGGTGCTTGACAGATTTCCCTTTAAACTTCCACTGCCTGCAACGTCTGTGGAACTTATGAGTGCTGCTTTTATAATGTTAAACGAAAAAGTTTTTCAGGTTTAACTTGGGTTCCGCCATCATGACATTTGTGAATAAATCGCAATACTTGTAAAAGAGCATGTTTTTTTATTATCATTATCAAACACTTATTATATTTACATAAACAAAAAGCACAATTCTGGATAAACAAAGTTACACAATCAGGTCACATCAGGTGAGAGAAACAGATGACAGAATCCAGGGGGACATAATCTTTTACTCCTTAAATACAAGGTAAAATCTAAAAAGAGATGGATGCATTTTCAGTTCGGACCAGCGCAAAAGAAACATGACAACAATCAAGACTTGGGAAAAGTCTATATTGCACCGAGAGGAAGACTAGTTTTAATATATTAGAAGAATTTGACCACTAAGACTTATTATGCTACAATGTTGATGCTTTGCTTTTTTCTCGCCCATTGTGCTAACAATGAGTGCATTTTAATGTAGAGGAATCAGCTTTCAATTATTGCAAAACCAAACAGCTTATTCTCATCAGACAGAATTCAGCCAACAGAAGTGTTGGGATATCTTTCGGTATCCTAACAGTTTACATTCTGTTTGTCTGGCAGTGAGGAACTCTTAATATCACAGAGGAATCAGATGCTAAATAGATGTTGCTGCTGGCATAACAGAAAACCTTTAAAGAAAATAAACAGCAGCCAAGGTTCCAAACCTTGCAAAACCCTGCAAAACCATTTCAGACTCCTTTGAACTTTGTCATACTTTCTCACATCACAACCACAAATGGTGTTTTGGGATAACAAAACGTGTCACAAATGAAAATTGTAAGTCTGTAATGGATACCTGAATGGTGCTGAAGTTTGCTGGATGCTACATTGTAGAGAAATTATCTGTGGAAGAAGTATGGCTGAAAACCCTTCCTGTATTTTACTCCTGCCATGACACATGATGTAGAAAATTATGTTTTGAGGATTTTTCTTCTGAGCACAGTAAGGAAAGCTGATCAGAGTTTAAATAGAAGACAGATTAAACTAAATGTAGGGAAATCCATGAAGAAAATCCGCTTAAAGCTGTAAAAGACATTTCGGCAAAGCTTCAACTTAAAGCAATACTTAAACTGTTAAGATTAAATCATATTCATGTCTTAGAGTGACAGAGGGACAATTCAGACCAAAACTACACTAAGTACTCCAAGTTTTTAGATGTGCAAAGCTGATAGAGATTTGCAACTGCATTTGGTGCAACAGGTGGGTACTATGACTATACATCCAACTTTACAAACTTTCATTTTTAAAAATTCATTAAATGATGCAAGATTTTGTGCTGGTCCAGGGTGTTAAAATTAACTGAATGTTATGGTTGTAATGTGACAAAATGTGAAAAAGTTGAATGCTTATTAATACCTTCCAAGGGACTATAATTCTTTATTCAGATATGCATGAAAAGTAGAAATAACTCCAAGTTTATATCCAGTGTCCAACTGAAGTCATGTGGAGTGGAATGTTATATTCACAGGGAAAACACATCCTTTAAGCTCTTCTCCCTTTTAAATTCACTATTTTCTCTTATCAAAACAGAAACATACAAAGATTCTTGGAGTAAATGTGAAGCATTGCACTTAGTACATGAGCCATTTGAACACCAGAGGGCAGTGGTGATTCACTTAACAGTAAGGCAATACATGACTAGTGGATAATCTGGTGGATATGTTGTAACACATTCATAAAGGTGCTTAAGTCAGTTGCAATCATGTGAGTTCAGTTTTGTTAGTAAAAACTTAAAATGAAGCTTTTTCAGAATATAAGAAATGAGAGTGTGAGGGTGACATGAGTCAGCAGGTTTTAGTTATAGGTTCATGTGCTTCAGTTAGCTGTAATTAGATCATTACAGTGCAAACTTTGATAATTACTACACTCAATCACAGCTCAAGCTTTTACCGCCTACAAGGAGAAGATAAGTTTCAAGCTGACAGGCGATGAAACTGATCTGTTCAGGTAGAGATGTTTGTTTTTTCCACACATAGCTCCCAGCCCAACAGCTTCAACTCCATTGTCTGCAATATGAAAAGCCATGAAAATCTCTATTGTTTGCTTTAAGTTAGAAATATGCATTGCAACTGCTGTAGGAGTGTTTGTAATGATCTCTTTTCCCAGAACTGTGTCTGCTGTTAGAGGAGAAGAGTTGAAGACAGAACAAAAGCTTTCAGCTCTTTGGCAAACACACCTGACACTTCAGAAATACTGACTCGGGAAAACAGTTTTTTAATAAAATACTTCAGACGTAAAACACTTGCATGCCGTTCATTGTGTTCGAGCACCTCTTTGCAAAGCTAAGGCTCTTTTCCAGTCCTTTGAAACTTTAAATTTCCTTATTTACATTTTCTATTTTTGGCAGATGCGCCTGTTGTACTGGTGCTTTTGTTGTCTCCCCCAGCCTTTACTTTTCCGCTCCCTTGGCTCTTCCTGCTTTGCTTCTGTATTTATGCATACAGATTCTAAGTAAACAGGCAGCAACACAATGGTTCATTCTGCAGACTCCACCGTAATTCAGCCCTACTGTAGGGATTTAAGCCAAACCAGCAGTAATCTGCTAAATCACCGTTCTCTATGACACACAGCTACATACTGGAAATGCTGGGTGCTCCATCATCACCTATGTAATGCATTTATCTGCTGAAACATGTTTTATACAGTGGAATTAGATCGTAGTTAAAGTCACAGAAAGAAAACGAAATGATACGCCTATATAAACACAAAACCACCAAAGGTAATATCCAAATTCTATAACAATGGACTCTAATTGTGAAACTGAATGTTCAGGGCCACACACCAGTAAATGACACGTTAAAGTTCTGAAACCCAAAGGGAGAGGTCTGGTGCTCTGAGGAGCTGAGGGAAATGTGTGTGAAATCAGCCATTTTGGATCCATGGGAATTTGCTGTATCACCTCCCTCGTTGGATGCCTCTCCTACTTACGTAGACCTGGAAAAGCAAGAAACATGGAAGAGAGAGAAAAGAGGATTAGCACTTCTTAGCTCTCCAACAGACACACACAAAACCACCCCTAGATGAATTTATTCAGAATATAACTCCCTGTAGATTGGGGAGAGGGAAATGTCCTCCCACCCATTAGAGACGGAGTTGATTAAACTGTCAGGAAGCTCATTAAATATTCATTTCATGTTGGCTGAGAATTACTACATGAGTTCTGTGGCTTATTGTCATTAACTTCTTTGCACATTTTAATTGATTAATCCAATTTTTGGACAGAAATGTGTGTATTTTTAATATGCTTGTGGCGTGGACACACACAGCCCCACATACCCTCAATCAGACACAAGTGTGCCATTCAACGCCCCTCTATAAAGTATTATGACAGGATGTAGCATGTCTCGGCCTGAAGGTTAAATTTATTACTTAAGCAAAAGACTGAGATGAGTGTGACGGGTAACATTCAATTTACAGCTGTATCTTAATTAATTTACCTATAATTAAGAAGTAAATCCATGCCAGTAATACACATTACATTTTACAAAATCAAATAAACTCATTAACAACGGAGTCATAAATTTCACTGTATTTATTTCTGTAGATTTTTAGGATTATTGCAAACAGTTAATGAAAAAAAAATCCCAGTAATTTGGTTTATCAGTTAAAAAAAAGAAAATGCAGCAATGTAGATAAACGTATCTCCAAGTATGTACACACACTCAGGACTAGGTCTGGGCTTCTTTAACAGCAGCAATGCAGCATGGAGTTGATCGGCTCTTCTGAGGTAAATAAGGAAGCCCAGGTTACTTTTATAGCTGGCTTCAGGTCATCTGCACCTGTTTTTGTGTCTCTTGTCTTACAAAAACCTGACTTTACAAGCAAATCATGCCCGATGATACTGTGGTCATGAAAAAACTGTTATTGGTAAAATATCAATAAACATGACTTTCACTTTTACCAATGTTATCTGTGTCCAATTTAACTCTGTCCAACTTGCTCAGCTCTAGGGGCCTGATCTTTAAAAAAATCAAACAAGAGGATCTAAACGGCACATGGATTTTTTTTTGATTTTTTTTTAGCATGTGCAAAAAGGCGGCTTGTTGCAGGTGATATACAAAGATTTTTGTTGTTCGCACATATGAACAGATTTGGTTCCAGCCATTAAAATAAGCCGATTGAATCTTCTACAGGCAGTTTGAAGGTGGTCATAAAAGACAGATGAGGTTCAAAGCTATAGAGAAGGAGGTTATAATGCTAATTATTAAAAAAATAATAATAGTGATAATAGCAAATAATATTTATAGAACACTTCAAATAGGTAGCCCATATTAAGGTGCAACAAATAAAACAACTGAAGGATGAAAAGAACAAAAGTTTAATATAAAAAAGGATAAGATACCATATAACATGGTAAAGTATTTTGTCTGCTGACTGAAATAAGAGCAGATTATGCTCTAAACATTTTTACTAATTTCAATCATATCCTCTCCAAAGGCACCTAGACACAATGTAAAACAAAGTAGGCCCTCAAGAATTTAATAAAAAAATTATAAAGGCTAGTTTACTGTTATTTATTATGAAATAAAATATATCCCTCTTACGACAGGTATGAGATGAGCTCCCAATGTTTCTTTGCAGGCTGTTTTGATATTCTATTTTGATTTTATTTTTTTTTTAAACATGCCGCAATATTTAAGTTCTGTTTTTTGTTTTTTATTTTGGTTTGATCATGTAAAGATCTTCTGCCATCCTTTCTACTATATATTAACAGTAATGGCAATAATATTGCCCTTTCAACAGTTGGTGGGCTGTGGGCTTACGAGTAGCCTGAGCAAATTAAATAAAAATGTTTGTGGCCTACCATGACTATGAAGCTGATCCCAGTGGGAAATTTGTCCTCTGCATTAGTCCCTAACTCTGTGGGGGCAGTGATAGCCA